ACCCTCCCCCCTACCTTGCCCTCCCTCACAAAGAAGGGGGCAAAGGCCTGGTTCTCTCCTCTCCCTCCCTCGGCTTCCCAGCCCTCCGACTACAACTCCCGGCAGCCCTTGCGCGAGCCTGACGAGGCCCTCAGGGCGAGATATTGGGGAGAAGGGGCTTCCGAAGGGCCACGCCGACCCGCCTCACATCCCCGGGAAAGGACGTCGTGCCCACCGAGACTCCTCACCGATCGCTCGCGAAAGACGGCGGGAAGGAGCCGCAGTCAATCCGCCATTGCTCGAGTCTCTCCCCCGCCCCCCGCTTTCTTTTTTTTTTCTCCTCTCTCTCTCTCTCTCTCTCTCCCCCTCACGACGCCTGCGCAAACCCGGCGCGCCGTTGGATTGGCTCCCCCCGCTCCCCCACCCGGCGAACGAAGTCGTGCGCAGGCGCAGCGCCGGGGCCGCGCGACACAGGCGCACAGGGGCGCGCTGGGCGGTGCCGGAGCTGCCTGAGGGGCGGGACTAGCGGTGGGGGGGGCGGGGGGCCGCCCGCGAGGCGGTTCACGGCGCACGCGCAGCCATTTGGGCGCGTCCTCTGAGGGGGCGGAAGAAGGATCGGCGGCGGCGGCGGCGGCCGGGTTAGTCGTGGGGTGGGAAGGTTTACGCATGCGCGTGGCTATGGGATTTTTGTTGAGGGGGCGGCGGGGGGGAGCTAAAAGGAAGGCGAAGGGGGGTAAATGGAGGGTAAACTGAGGAAGGGCCTGGGGAGCTGCGGGGCCTCTTCTCAGGCGTTCTGCGGTTGGAGGTGAAGGATTGGATTACGGGTCCCATCATCCCCATCTCTCTCTCTCTCTCGCATCAGAGATCCCGTCATTCCCATCCCGTCATTCGTCTGGGGGGGGGTTCTATTCCCCAAGCTAACCCCTGGACTACAATTCCTATCTCTCTCTGGCCATTGGACAGCGTTCCCTATGCCCTCAATCCAGAAAGCAATCGACTACAATTCCCATCTCCCCCTGGCCATTAGATTTCAGTTCTGTCCTAAGCCTGGAAAGCCATTGACTACAATTCCCATCTTCCACTCTCTGGCCTTTAGGCTGCAGGTCCTTTGCCCTCAAGCCATCTACAGATTTGCACCCTGCCATATTATAGAGCAGGGGTCGCCAACCTTTTGGACCTCAGGGACCACCAAACCCATCATTTTAAATCCCGCGGGCCAGAGACCCTGGGAAAATCCCCAAAAAAGTCTGCAGGAAAATTCCCCACCCCGTTTTCCTACCGATCGATTGTTCTTTATTTGGGATCGCAGGATACTGTCTCCAGCTCCATTCTCGGGGAGAGAGAGAGAGAGACTTTAGGTTTCATGCAAGGAAAGCAGCAGAAGTCTTTCTTTCTCTCCCCCAAACTCCGCCAGAAATGAGTCTTTGCCGGCTCAGCTTCTTGGAGCAGGGGGCCTTGCAGGGTCCCAAAGACTCATTTCTGGCGGAGTTTGGGGGAGAGAAAGAAAGACTTTTGCTGCTTTCCTTGCGTGCAGCCAAAAGCAGAAGAAGAAAGAAGCGGAAAGAAGCAGCCCGGTGGCCAGGCCGGGTGCGTGGGGCAAGTTCCCCCCCTCCGCCCTTTCCCCCCTCCCCTCACCACCTTCGCAATGCAAGCGATGCAAGCCTTGTGTTCCCACACAGCTGGATTAATTGCTTTGGGGGGGGATATTTCTCAGCGGACCACCAACATTTTCTCATGGACCACCAGTGGTCCCTGGCCCACTGGTTGGCAACCACTGTTATAGATTGATGTTTATTTGTTTCTGCTAAAAGTTTTAAAAACTGCAGAAGATTTAATAATTATTTCCTGATACGTAATCTTCTTAAAGGTTTTGCCCTTAGTTAAAAACTGAAATCCAAAAACACAATTGAAATATTGGGAAGGTGAGTATAATTACTCAAGTTTCAAAGGGGTGAATTATCTCTCTCAAACCAGCCCACCTTGCAGGGTTGTTGTGATGGGGAAAATAGGAAATAGCTGTACTGTATTAATGAAGTCTGCACACCTGGAATTATATATTAAAAGGGGAGGATTAAAACAATTAAAATATGTAAATAGGCGTTGTAATGTAATTCACGTAAATAGGGTTTGTAATGTAATCAACGTCTGACCACAATTGAGCCTCAGATTTATGTTGCTGGGTGAAACATTCGTTAAATGAGATTTGGCACATTTTACCACTTTTCTTGCCACAGTTGTGACAAGTGAATTGTTAAGTGAATGTTAAGTTGTTATGTTTATCACACAATTATTAAGTGAATCTGGCTTCCCCATTGACTTTGCTTGTCAGAAGGTCGCAAAAGGGAATAATCTGATCCTGGGACACGGCCACTGTCACAACTATGAACCAGTTACCAAGCATCCAAATTTTGATCGTGACCATGGAGGATGCTGCAATGGCCATAAGTGTGAAAAATGGTCCTCACGTCACTTTTTTCAGTGCCATTGTAACTTTGAACGGTCCCTAAGTGAACTGTTGTAAGTCAAGGACTACCTAAATGTCAGTTTCTGGCAAAATTACGGTAGCATCACATGAATGCCGGGTGCTGCAAATGACTAATGTGTGCCACATGCCCAAAATGTGATCACCTGACCATGTGTGTTTCATTGTAACTTTGAATGTGGGTCGTAAGTAGGTTCTTTGGGGCGTGTGTTGTAACTTCAAACGGCTGCTTAGCACCCAGTTGCAAGTTGAGGACGACTTGAATGGGAAGACTGATGAACAGGTCAAGATTGTACAGATCCCTCATTTTATTTAGGTGAAACACATAGAAATGGACGCATTATACTTCTGCCATTATAAAAGAATTTAAAAATCTCAGCATCGGTCCAAAGAAGGGATGACTAGGGGTCATGTTGCAAATGCATGTCTCTTGCTATGATTAATTCTAATTTTTCGTGGTTATGCCACCCTGCTGGAATGACACCTCAATGAGGCCAGCAAATTGGCAATGGGAGTGTGTGTGTGTGTGTGTGTGTGTGTGTCATCTTTTGTGTGTGTTCCCACTTATACTGTTCACTTTCAGGTGTGAGGTTGGCTGTTCATTTCAGGACAAATCCTCTCCTCTTTGGATTTATGGAATTTTCGTTCCTATGATTGACAGTTTGAGGTCACTGCTTGCAAAGCGAATGCGCCAGCAGTTGGTTCAATTTATCTTGCAGCCGAAACGGGCATTGTTTGGCTCTAGGACAAGTTTTTAATCTCTTTTTCAAAGCACTGATACATTGTGGAATGAGAAGCACTCAGATCAGGAACGTACTACATCAGAAGTAAAATTTAAAGACCCTCTTCCTCCCATTTGCAAAGAGAAGTTTGCAAAGACCAGATAATACCTTTGGATTAAAAAAAAGAAGAAGCAGGTCTGGTAAAGCAGATATTTAAAAAAGAATAACAGAGATGGAAGGGACCTTGGAGGTCTTCTAGTCCAGCCCCCTCTGCTCAAACAGCAGACTCTGTACCATTACAGACAAATGGTTGTCCAATCTCTTCTTAAAAACCTCCAGTGATAAAGCGCCCACATTTTCTGGAGGCAAGCTGTTCCACTGATTAATTATTCTAACTGTCATGAAATTTCTTCTCTTATTTCTAGGTCGCTCCCCTAGTCCTTCTTTTCATTAAACTAGACGTACCCAATTCCAGCAACCGTTCTGTAAATGTTTTAGCCTCCGGCCTCCTAATCTCCTTTGTGGCTCTTCTCTGCACTCTTTCCAGAGTCTCAGCATCTTTTTTACATCGTGGCAACCAAAACTCGATGTAGTATTCCAAGGGTGGCCTTACCAAGGCCTTATAAAGCGGTACGGACACTAAACAGGATCTTGATTCTGTCCCTCTTAAAGCAGCCTAGGATTAAAGCCGCACACGGCTGGCTCATATTTAAGGGATTGTCCACCAGGACTCCAAGATCCCTCTGGCAGTTACTGCTATTGAGCCAGGTGCCACCTATTCTGTACCTGTGGATTTGGCTTTTCTTGCCTAAATGTAACACCTTTTGCTGCATTTGCACCATTGGCAGCGCATGAGGGAACAAAATGATTCCCCCCTGCTCCTTTGAAGAAAGCATCTTATGTTCGGTAACACATTTAAATTCTCCTTTTTGAGATTCTCAAGAGTTGCTTTTAAGAAAAAAAATGTCAGGGACTTTGCTCAGGATCAATCTTCATCCCCGCGGGCGTCCGTTTCCATCTGTTTCATCTATAGAGAATGAGGGATCTGTACAATCTTGACCTATTATTCATCTTCCCATTCAGGTAGTCCTCAACTTATGACCAGGTGCTTAGCAGCTGTTTAAAGTAATGACAGACCCCCAAAGCCCTACTTATGACCCACATTTCAAAGTTACGATGAAAACTGCCCGGTCACATGATCACATTTTGGGCAAGATAAATTTTGGGCTCGGTTGTGGTCATAATCAAGATGGATGGCAAATCTAATTAAAAGGATCGTGTTTGAAATCTTAATAAAGTTATTTATAGAATCACTTAGGCTCTATAAAGGTGGACATTATAGAAATTTAATATGCTCTCTTTTTATGATCCTGTGATCCCTTAATTTGGGGTATAAATAAATTCAGGGCAATGAATAAATTCAGGAAATAATTTAATAAATATCAAAACTTAATAATTATTAAATAAATTTTAAAATTACATCTAGTTTATACATTGGTGTGTGTGTCTGTGTGTAGTTTCAACTTACAACAGTTCAAAGTTACAATACCACTGAAAAAAGTGACTTATGACAGTTTTTCCACACTTATGACCGTTGCGACATCCCTATAGTCAGGACTAAAAATCAGATGTTTGGCAACAGACTCGCATTTATGACGGTCGCAGTGTGTCCCAGGTTCACGTGATCCCCTTTTGCGACCTTCTGACAATCAAAGTCGACAAGGGAAGCCCAGATTCGCTTAACAATTGTATGACTAATTGAACAACTGCGGCGATTGAAAGGTCGTAAAATGGGTTGGAATTCACTTAAACAAATGTCTCCCTAAGCAACAGACCTATCGATTGTGGTCATAAATTGAGGACTACCTGTATTTCTAGGGTGGCCTAGAAATTATAATTCCCCCCCCCCCACTTTTCTTCCCCCATGCCGCCAGACTGTGAAACGGTCAGTGTGCCTAAGCCAACCCTTGGATAAAATGGTGTAAAAACGATGGTTCTGTTGCTTGTCCTTAGGAAGACCTTCTCCTTGGCCTCTGCTCTCCATGAAATGCCAAAGAGAAAAGAGAACCAAATTATCCCACTCTTTGCTCCGGCTCTGAAAGGAAAACCCTCCGCTCGAAATAGCCAATGGGCTGCCCACCCGCCTCTCAAGTGTTCTAGCCCTCAAGAAGCCCGAACGGCAAAGAATATCTGAGCCCTTCCTCGCACGAGCCCAATGGGACGGTTTTCCAGCAAGGTCTGGAATTGGACCTCTGTTTTCTACCCCTTTTGCCGTTCCTGATTTTTTTTCTTTCCTTTTTTGCCCTCCTCCCCGACTCCTCCCTTTTTTAAAAAATTAAAAATAAAACATTTCTGGCAAACCCAAGTCCAGTTACTTCACAGGGATTAGTCTCCTTGCATCTGTCCTCGCCTGAATGGACAGGGAGACTTTCGCGTGTGCCACGAAGTTTTTCCGCGACTACAGCGGCCCGACGCGGGGCGCCGCCTGCCAGCCTCACAACCATGTGGACTACATCGAGAAGCCGGAGACGTTCACGTACGCGGATTTTTTCAAGGATTACTTGATCCCCAACGACCCTTGCGTCTTCTCCGCCAAGTTCACGGAGGGCTGGGCCAGCCGGAGGAAGTGGGTCACGCCGGACGGGAAACCCAACTTGGATTATCTCCTGCGAACCTTCGGTAAGCCCCACTTTCCGTTCGAAGAAGAAATGGCCGTGACCCTGCTTTTTGCCGAGAGGTGGAGGAGCGCGGTTCTTGATTTTGCCACAGGTCCTGCCCACCTGGTTGAAAATCTGGGGGCCAACTTGAAGATGCTCCAGCAATTTCAGGGTAGCCGTAAAATTAGAAGCCCAGCCTCCTCCTCCTCCTCCTATCCAAGAGAGTGAATGGCTAAGGATAGAGCATATATCTCAGTCTTAGTTACTTTAAGATGTAGGTGGGGAAATCAACTCCCAGAATTTCTGGCAGGAGAATACTGGGAGGTAAAGTCCCTCTCTTCTCCTATTCCCCTCTCCTCTCCTCTCTTCCTCCCTTTCTCCTTTCCTCACTGCTCTCCTCACTCCCTCTCTCTTCTCCTCTCCTCCCTCTTGTTTCCTCTCTTCCTCTCCTCCCTTTCTCCTCTCCTCCATCCCTTTTTCCCCACCTCTCCTCCCTCTCTTCTCCTTTCCTCTCCTTCCCTCCTTTCCTCTTACCTCTCCTCTTTCTCCATCTCTTCCTCTCCTC